TATAAAACGTCCATCTTTTTCAGCGTTTCCATCACCATTTATTCCTGCTTTATTTTACTGTAAACTAGCTCCTGCTGTTTTTAAGTGTCATGTATTGGGCTTCTGAGATGGTAAATCTTTGCCTCATCATTCTCCCTTGGTGCCGTGGATGGGCTCAAACCTCTGACCTTATGGTTCACAATTCTGTGCTAATCCTACAGAGCCACTGCATTCCCCAACATAGCTCCTACAGTCTGCTATATGACACAACTAAATAATGTCAAAGACGCTTTCCAGTTCTCATCTTCCTTTTCTGAAACATTCCTTGCGTTCTAAGATACTTTTTTTTCCCCCCCAGAGATTACTCCTTTATTCCTTAAAGAATACTCTTTATTTTAGCTCTCCCCATCCTAATGGCCCCCAATTTTTTCCTGGTAAAATGCAAGGATAAAAATTCTTTGATAACCTCTCAAAAAATGGTTCCATTGGCAAACTTATCCTAATATCATGGATCCTTTGATTTTTATGTTTCTTATTGATTTATCTTGTCAACATTTCTTTTACCATAGCTTCAGGAGAACTTCAGGATTCCTATAATGCATGTTCCTGCAAAGATTTAAAGTCTAGAAAACCCTACTCAGGGTCACTGAGTCGGAATTGACTAGACAGCCCTTAGCAATAGCACTACTCACAGAGTCCATTCTGAGTCACAGGCCCTAGAGGAAGAGAAGAACTGGCCCCCAGGTCACCAAGGCTGTAATCTTTATGGTAGCAGTGGGCACGTCTTTCTCCTATGGAAAGGCTGATGAAGGCTGATGACTTTAAACCGCCAAATTCAGGGTTAGCAGCTGAGCGCTAAAGCACTGCGAAATCAGGCTCCTTAGAAAGCGCTATAGGACTCAAACCAAACCAAACTCACTGCTGTTGAGTTGATTCTGACTTACAAGAACCCTACAAACCACAAGATCATCGGTTCAAACCTACCAGCTGCTCCTCGGAAACCCTGTTCAGGGGTGCCATGAGTTGGAACTGACCCGACAGCACTTAACAACATGGGACAAGGTAGAAGGGTTTCACAGGGTTTCTGAGACAGTAGTAAAGCTTTATGAGAACAGTCAGCCTCATTTGTTCTCACTCATAACAGCTGGTGAATTTTGAAATGCTGACCTTGAAGTTAGTAAGACAATGCTAACCCACTACACCAGCAGGGCTCCTTGTAAGCATTGCATAAAATAAACCGTATTAGCCTATCTAGAGGGAGCTCTGGTAGCGTAGTGGTTACGAATCGGGCTGTGAACCTTAAGGTCAGCGGTTCGAAACTACCAGCCGCTCCGCGGGAGAAAGATGAGGCTTTCTACTCCCGTCAAGATTTACACCCTGGGAAACCCTGTACAGGGTCGCTATGGGTCGGAACCGACTCGACGGCACTTAACAACAACAACAGCAGCCTATCCAGGGACTTCCATAGTAATTACACTAAACAAACAGTATTTATTTGTACTGAAATACCAAGTGATCTGGAGCCCTGGTGTGGCACTAAGGGCTCCAGCCGCTTCTTAGAAACCCAATATAGGGTCACTATGAGTTGGAACAGACTCAAAGGTGTGAGAAACTCCCAGACTGGTCCCTCATCAGGAATAAGGGTAACCAAAAACCCAAGAAGTTACTCACTGGCCAGGGCACAGACTGTCGGCTGACGTGTCAATTAGAAAAACCCATGTATAAACAGGTGAATTAGGGGAGGGGGAAGAAGTCTGTTCAAAAAGTAGAAACTTAAATAAGGCTATAACCATCAAAGGAAATAGGTGATGTCCAGGAAGACTGTTCACCCCGTAGTACTCAGCCAATGAGGAACTCGGGGAGGGACTCACAAGCTAGGGCATGAAAATACTTGTGAAACAGCTGTTGGGCACACCAGTTATCTTGTCTTCTGGGCTTGAGCGCCAGATTTTGCAAAATCGACTAGTAAAGCCTCACTCTCACTGAAGTAGGTATAAAATGGATTTCTTTCAGCATTCGTTGGTAAAAACTCATGATAACCCATCGGTAGCCTCATATGGGATAAGATCCATCGGGGTAAGGTCCTAGTCAGGGGTTTTTACTGATCCACCAATTACCAAGGGGAACTGAGACGGTATGGGGTGTTGACAGCTTTCTCACAACTGCACTTAACCACCACCACCAAGTGATTTACAAAGGTATTTGAAAACTCTATTCTTCGGGTCTGAGTGTTTTTATACTCAAGTTTTAAACCAACCTTTGGTGACTCTTCAAAGTTCTTCAAACTACAATAGACGTTTACTTACTTGGCTTGACACTGGACTTTTCTGGAACAAGTTGAGATGTCTCATCTAATGGAGCAAGAATTCTATTTTCCAAGATTGGAATGTTGCTATCTTTCAAACCAACGTGTCTATTTCGCTCATATTCCTTATGCCTGTTTTCTTTCTGGCACAGTGATTTCCTGTGAGCAATTTTGGTTCTAATCATGTTAGTACTTAAATCTTTCCTGTGTCGATTGGCAAAATGTAATGAAGACATCCTGTCAGGGAAAAAAGATGGAGGTCAGCTCACATGCTTTTCCTTATTTAAAAAAATCCAATATTTTCACCTCCTGTCCCATCTCACAGGCTTTTGAAATAAAAACATTGAAATACAAAATGAGATAAATATGTGACACTGGAGAGGGGTTAGGACGTTAGGACAACTTATTTTGGGATGTTCACACACACCAGCTGCTCCCAAGAAACCCTACACAGGGTCCCTGTTGGTCAGAACAGATTGATGGCACATAATAACAAGTAGGAACTTTGAGGACCAAGGTATGTATTTTCACTCATGTCATATACATGTGAAAGCATGAGGTATATATTTTCAATCATCTCATGTTGTTGTTGTTGTTAAGTGCCGTCGAGTCAGTTCCGACCCATAGAGACCCTGAACAGGGTTTCCGAGGCTGTAAATCTTCATGGGAGCAGAAAGCCTCATCTTTCTCCCACGGAGCAGCAGGTAGTTTCAAACTACTGACCTTGAGGTTTGCAGCCTGATTCTTCACCACTCCACTAACAGAGATCCTTTATGCATGTGGAAAGCAAGACAGTGCGAAGAATTGATGCATTTGAATGAGTGTGTTGGTGCAGAATACTGAATATGCCATGTGCATGTGCTGTAGGATAAGCACTTGTCCACAAAGTCGGTTTGAACCCTAAGGTTGGAGGCTCTTTGGACAACCTATATGGCACTTAACAACAAGGAGCCAGAACAAACAAATCTGCATTGAAAGAAGCCAGGATGTACTTCAGACCTGCAGGAAGAGTTTAGGTTAAAGAGGAAGACCCTAAATGAGATGGATTAACACCAAGTCAGCAACAAACCACTGATTATGAGGAAGGCATAGGACCAGACAGTGTGTTGTTCTGTGTAGACAGAGTCACTGTATGTCAGAACCTCCTGGAAGGTATTTAACAACAACAAACAGAAATTTGTTTGAGACACTCTTTAAAAGGAAGTTAGAGACTCCTGCTTACCATTGAGGGCACAGGGGTGGGGTGGGGGGGATGTAAAGTAAAGGTGAATACAAGGGAATTAAGTGAAGTTTCCTTAGCTACCTTCCCCTAAATACAGAAAAGCTGGCATTTCCTCTGGAATGGGGAGGTAGACGTGACATAAGGAAGGAAAAACAGTGTGGAACAAGAAACTTGGTTCAAATTTTAGTCTGGTTTCTGAAAAATGCCCTTTGCAATCTCTAGCAATCCAGGGTGTCTTTGTTTTGTTTTTGTTTTTTTTTAAAAAACTACAGGCAGGCAATATTTCCTTCTGCAGTTAGTCAGTTCTAGCTCCTAGCAGCGCTATGTACAACAAAACAAAAAGCACTGGCTAGCCTGCCCGCCACCATCTTCACATCCTGTAGCTTCCCAAGCCCAGCCCAAAACCACTGAGCCATCAATGCTGCTTAATAATAACCACAATTCCTTTACAGGCAGTTACTATTGTCTCCCTGAACAGAAGAGGGCCATTAACTGCACATCAAACAAGTGGCCGACTGGGAGCGAGTCTTCCAGACGAGAGAGCGTTCGTTACTCTCCCGCCCCCTAGAGGTTCTCACCTCGGGCGTTTTTAGTTGTCACCAGATCTGACAGGAGCTATTGGAATTTAACGTAAGGCAGGGAGGGATGCCAAACGTCCCGCACTAGGAAGAATTTTCATCACCCCAAAGGCCAACTTGCGCCCGATAGAAAAAACTGCTACATAGATAAAGTTGTTGTTGTGTGCAATGGAGTCGGTTCCGACCCATAGCGACCCTGCACAGGGTTTCCGAGGCTGTCAATCTTTACGGGAGCGGAAAGCCTCATTTTCCTCCCGCGGAACAGCTGGTAGTTTTCGAACTGACATTAGCAGCCCGATTCGTAACCACCACGCTACCAGAGGTCCTTACATATAGATCCTAGCAACAAATATATTTTACAGCCTCGGAAACCCTGTATAGGGTCGCTATGTGTCGGAACCGACTCCACAGCACATAACAACATAGACCATAGCAACAAATATATTTACTCTTCTGAAGGGCTGTGTTATCAGCTTAGAGAAAGGCAGGTAACACGGTTCCCAGAAAGAGGTCCATCTCGCAGCCGCGTCCTCAGACCCTTCTAGACGTCCTAAGCAGTCACCGGAAGCGACCAAAGACCTCCCTCCAGCTCCCCAGCACCCACCTACCTGAAGCACCTTCTAGTGTGAAACCTCAACCAAACTAAAAAGAAAAGAAATTCTAATAACTACAACTCGGTCTGAGAGACCACAGCCGCCGGGAAGCCTGCACGCCTACTCCCCGAACTTCCGCCAAATTCAAACTTCCCGCATTTGGCTTCTAATTGGACGGACTTTTGCGTACACTTCCGGGAAAGGTATCCGCCTTTTCCCTTCGAGCAGGCTTGCGATTGGTTTGCCCCTGCACTATTTGAATTGATTGAAAGTTGAAGGAACCGTTCATAGCTTGGGCTTGAGCAGGAGAAAGAAGTGGGCCGGTGACTAAGAGAAGAGTTGGGGCTGCAGGTTCTCTCTAACCTGGCGAAGGATGCTCAGGCCGAGGACGGCTGCGAGTGGCCTAGGGGAGTACGGCTGGGTTGCTGGGCCCGCTTCTGCTGAGTTTCCTGGATTCGCCTTGAACTCCAGAGTTTCGGGGATACATCCAGAGGAAAGACCAAAGAACCCTCTGGGAAGCATCTGAGACTCGGCTTCGAACTCAGAGTTTGCAGGGCTTTAAAAAAATTTCTATACTTACTAACCATGTTTAGTTACACAAATCTCCAGAGGTTATTAGAATGCTTTACGTAACGTTTTAAAGGAAGGGCTTGTTGTTGTTGTTATGTGCCGTGGAGTCAGTTCCGACTCATAGCGACCTTGTACAGGATTTCCCAGTCTGTAAATCTTTACAGGAGCAGAAAACCTCATCTTTCTCCCGCAGAACAGCTGTTTTGTAGGAAGCCCACAGAGGTGAAGTGCCATTCTCATCATATCCAGAGGTCATTCTATTTTTGTTGTTTGCTTTGGTTGGGTCAGCCCACACACACAAATCAAAATGCTGCCCTCTCTTACGCCATCCTATAATTTGTTGTAGAATACATGATTGTAATGAATAGGGTTCTTTGGGTAGTTTTTAGAGGTTTCCTTCTAACATAACTTGTTATTGCCGATGTTAACTTTCAGCACCTGGCTGATGTAGTGTTTGCCAGGTTTCGTCACTTAAAGCTACTCTGTCTACTCCTTTTCCATACTTTCAAAATGACTCTTGAAGGAAGCTAGTATGTGCAGTTAAGGAGTAGACAGTTATGCCCCACCTCCTGAGGACGAAGTATCTACATAAGTTATTTGGAATTCTTCTGCATGAAAGATTTGTCTGTTCTGCCCCATTATTTATTTATCCAGTCATTTATTTATGTCAGTATGGACTCATAGATGTTTTCTTCTACTTTGGATTATAATCCAATACCACTTGATTGTGCTGCTCAAATTGTTCCACCTTTGACCACTGGATGCTCTTTAATTTGATTCCTGTTTCACACTGATTGACGTAACTCTAACACTATGGATCTGTTTGAGCAGTTACTTTCTGACACTACAGGATCCCTTGTGCTCACTCTTCCCCCTGCCCCAGATTGTTTTTATTCAAGAATGATATTAGAAATCAAGATCTGGTTGCTAGCTGTGCTACTTGGGAGTCTCTTCAGTTTATATAGAGGGAAAATATAAAGGGGCTTCAGAAGTTGCTGGAAAAATAGGAGTAAAAGGTTATGGGATTTTTCTGAGAACACATGAGCAAGCATGTAAGCTTGCTGGCAACCACGTTGGTCTACTGGTGAGTGGAAGAGGGAGAAAGAGCAATGAAGAAATGGGCTGAGTTCAGCCACATTTTGTAGACTCCTGTTGATCTGGAGATGACAGAAGAAGAAGGGCTGGTTGGTCCAAAGTATGGTGAGACCTGGAGACTCCTGAGCCCATGGACAAGGACATAGCCACAGAGGGCTAGAGCTGAGAGTGAAGCATCCAGCTGATATGAAGTGAGGGGGGAGACATACAAGAGCACCC